ACTTTCAAATGTCCCCATCCAGTCAGAAGCTGAGGGCGATCACTGCGCCTCTTGAAGTGCGACAAACATGTGTCCGCGTAGCTGCGCTCGCCTGGGGCAGACGTGTTGGCGATACGACCGAGCGACGTTCGTGCGGCTTACGTTTTCCGAACAAGTGCGCGTGTTTGCTGGCTGCAGGTGAGTCAATTCAGCAGTGAGTGGTGGGTGCAAGGAACAGGTGAGTATGAGTAAAGTCACAGGTGAGCTGTGAGTAAAGTCCGGGGCGAGTGTAAGTAAAAGTCTAGGTAAATCTGAGAAAAGTCACAGGTGAGTATGAGTAAAGTCACATGGCGAGTGTGAGTAAAGTCATCGGTGAAGTGTCGTGTAAAGTCACCGGTGAAGTGTGAGTAAAGTCACGGGTGAGTGTGAGTTAAAAGTCCCGGGTGGAGTGTGAGTAAAGTCAGCAAGTTAGTTGGTGACGTACCAGTCATAGGTAAATCTGACGCGAAGTTACAGGTAAATATGAGTAAAGTTACAGGTCAGTGTGAGTAAATTAAGTTACCGGTAAATATGAGTAAAGTTACAGGTGGCTGTGAGTAAATTTCAAGTTGACCACGGTAAATATGAGTCAAAGTTACAGTGACGTGTGAGTAAAATTAAGTACAGGCTAAAGTATGAGTAAAGTTAACAGGTGAGTGTGAGATAATATAAGTTCAGGAGGTAACATATAAGTAAAGTTACAGGTGGAGTGTGAGTAACATTAAGTTACACAGGTAAACTCATGAGTAAAGTTCATAGGTGAGTTTGAGTAAATTAAGTTACAAGGTAAATATGAGGTAAGTTACAGGTGAGTGTGAGTAAATAAGTTCCGGGTAAATATGAGTAAAGTTAGCAGATGAGTGTGGTACAAGTTACAGGTAAATATGATAAAGTTACAGGTGAGTCGATGAGTAAAGTTAGGTAAATTTTGAGTAAAGTTACAGGTGAGTGGTGAGTAAAGTTACGGGTAGATATGTGTGCATTCTGCGTGTAAGTGTGATATGTGGTGGTGCGTACGTTGTGTGCCATGCAAGCCGGCTGCTCTATGCCCTGTCAAGGCAACAACCGTCAAGTCGAATCCGCTGCGTCCTTATCGTTCTTATTCTGTTTCTCCTTTCTTCCCACTTACCTGATCTCTTCCACTCTCGCCTCATCGCTCCACCTATATATTCTCTCTCTCCTCTCTCTCTCCCTCTTTCTGCTCTTCCGCGTGCGATGTATGTGAGTACAGGTGTTCGCAGCTGTCGAATCTCCAGAGCCACGCGCGCACGCACACGGGAGAGAAACCGTACGCGTGCGATGTGTGTGACTACAGGTGTTCGCAGCTGACGAATCTCCAGAGCCACGCACGCACGCACACAGGAGAGAAACCGTACGCGTGCGATGTATGTGAGTACAGGAGTTCTCACCTGGTGCAACTCAAGAGACACGCGCGCGCACACACGTGATATGCGTGCGATGTATGCGAGTACAGGTGTATGAGCGCCAGCGACCTCAAGGTGCACTTTCTCTCGCACACAGACGAGAAACCGCACGCATGTGACATCTGTTGATGCGATGTTTGTTTGTTGCACGTTAGTGCGTTTGTGTGTTAGTGCTTTAGTGGTTTAGTACGTTAGTGGGTTAGTGTGTTAGTACGTTAGTGTGTTAGTGTGTTAGTGTGTTAGTGCGTTAATGTGTTAATGTGTTAGTGTATTAGTGTGTTAGTACGTTAGTATGTGAGTGTGTTAGTGTTTTAGTATACTTATAGTTATAGTTCGTGTTAGTGTGTTAGTGCACGCGTGCGTTGGTGCATACTTAATATCCTACCATGTTTTCTTCCAGGCATCCGTAGTCGTGGGGCTGTGAGATCCTAGCGTGAGACAGAAGCTATATGTAAAACATGCTTATATATGGCATCTTATATTTCTATAGTGTATGCTGTGTGGTATCACACGACAGCTATAGATGAAATACCTACCAGTGCGGAGCGAAAATGTAAGGTATATGGGAAAATAAGGGGCTTATCCTCGGCCGCTCTCTCGAAACACATGCGCACGCAGTCGCACCGAAGAAATTATTTTTTCCTATGTTATATCCATGGCATAGTTTTGGGCTCCTCTGATTGGCTGCTTTGATTTGCTTTGACTCAACAAACCTTCAAAACAAGAGAACAAACGCCATTTGTAAATATTTGTTTTAGTTTATGATCGTTTGATAAGTAAGTTTTCTGATGTATTTTTTCCTGGTACTATAGAGTAGCCCTTCGCTCCGTCGCAGGAGGAAGGAGCTAAGGGCTATAGACTAGTACTAGAGCTATACGTACTCGTTGACGCTAGACTGAGCAAAAAGTAAACAAACCTTTGTTATTAAACGACACATGTGTTAGTACTTGTTTACATTTGAAAATACATGTACACAAAGAATTGCAATTACAGTGATATTATATTTTATCTTAATGAGTAAAATGTGTGTTTTAAGTTTTTCATGGAAAATACATCAGAAAACTTTTTTCTCAGTCTAGCGTCAACGAGCACGAGTATGATCGCGACGGAGCGAAGGGCTATAGGAGTACGTATACGGTATACGTACGTATGTAGTAAGTGTTACGAGAGCCCAGCTAGACCCTCTCATAACTTAACGTTAACTATGAAAATAACACATTCACATAAAGATTTGTAATTATAGTGATATTATATCTTATATTGAAGGCATACTAGGCCCATTGATTATGCAATGTTGACGAATGCTAGAGTTACTGGCACCTTGTGCAGTTAATAAGTACATAACCTTATAGCCAAACGAGTATTAGTTTGTCCAATATCACTGCTGGTTACATTACAAACAAGACTTGAAATCGGTTGTTGATATGTATCAACGTATTATTTACGTGCGTAAATGTCATCCAGGAGTCAAGTGATGACGTAACATTTGTGCGGCCGCGTATGTTTTGGACGCAGATGAAATGGAGGTGTCAGCGGTGTAACCACGGCCACGACTAAATGGAAATGGAGATAAAAACGTAGTAATCACGGACGCACGTGGACAGCCCTGACAAAAGTTCCCTTATCACGAGCGTCCATATTTACGAAATTACTGATGATAGCATTGCTTACAGCCGAGCATGCGTGCGAAAATGCGCGTGCACTATAAATCTGTATCACACTCGCTTCGCCGGCAGCGTGTTGAAACTGTAAAACAACTGATTTTTGGAACTGCGGATTTCAATTAAACATTTCTTAGTAACAGTAAGGTGATATCGACAACCTAATATCGCGTTGGATTGCATAAGGTTATGTACTTATTAACTACACAAGGTGCCAGTTACTCTAGCCTTCGTCAACATTGCATAATCAATGGGCCTAGTATGCCTTTAATGAGTAAAATGTGTGTTTTTTATGGAAAATACATCAGAAAACTTACTTATCTACTGATCATAAACCATAACAAATATTTACAAATGGCGTTTGTTCCCTTGTTTTGAAGGTTTGTTGAGTCAAAGCAAATAAAAGCAGCCAACCAGAGGAGCCCAAAACTCTGCAATGGATATAACGTGTAGGGGAAAAAAATCGCGGACGGGTCTGAGGGTTAAACAGCTAATTCGTCAGACATTAAACGTGTGGATACAGGTGCACTCTCTCCAGTAGACTCCAGTGACGTACACTCAGGCTTGTATAAGAGAAGAAATCCTGATAGGCGATGTGCATGCAATCAGGGGTGATGTAACTGACATTAATTCTACCGATTAAACAGTTAATAAGCCAGTTCGTAGTTACGCACTGGCGCCCTATGACGTCATCGGGTCATAGGTCATTTGTACATAGCTGAAAAGTTGGATCGCGCGTTCGCTCGTACGCACTTGTCGTATACTACATAATATGCATGAATGCTATACTGTACAGAAGCTATGTAAAATCGTGGGTGCGTTTGTTTTCTGTACTGAACCGATCGACTATCTGCCTGTGCTTTTTGTTTTTTGGATTTTTACGTGTGTGTATGATATTCATTGTGGGGTATTTTAGGTAGATATGCAGTGTCGGTTCTTCTCCGTCAGTCAGTTAACTGCAGTCAGTTCAGTCAGTCTCGGTCATATCATTTATTTATGGATGTCTTTATGCTCACTGGATTTCTTAATTCTAATACAACAGAAATGCACACTCAGACATACATGTAATTAACTTGCAAAGCATATATATTGATTCATGTTTAATGCACATCTAACTACATGTATATGAACAAGGAGGAATGTTAACCTCTAAATACATTGCACAAGCAATTAAAGCAATGAAAATGGCGAAATTGTGTACGTGTATAGGGCCTACATGTATGAAACCTGCAAATGTGATAATTTATAATGTAGCAAGTTTAAAAAATAGCAATGAAATAAATGCGTTTCCATTTTAGAGACAGCAGGGAATAAACATGTTTTATAATTTCTTATATTTCTTATTATTAATATCTATGAAAACCTTCAATTTAAGTACCATTTTATATTAATAATAAAAAATATATGCGTGACTCCTGTTTCATGTGTAAATAGTATTTTAGCTTGCATAGTATGGGCATATATTGTAATCAAAATAATAATTAGATAGGAATAACCATTTGTCTCTGACGCATTGGACGCGGGACAATGCTAACAAATTCACAACGAGAGTGAGGCCATTTGTATTGACCTGCGCGCCATCTAACGAGCAATTAAATAAGCCTGCTCTATCTCCCCCAAGTCTTTGGGTTACAAACGAAGACTGAAAAAAAAAATATCCTTCTGAATCAGTTCCTGATTTCACATTATAAGAGTCAGCACATAACATAGTCCTTCTGCCACGCAGGAGGTCGTCGAGCTCTACGTGTTCTGTCGGGAGGCAGAGTTCCAGGGGCACCCACTTCCCTGCGCGGGGTCGTGACCCTGGCTACACTCGGCCTACTAGGGGGTGCAGCAGGAGTAGTAGGTTGGACAGCAGGTGTGACACGGGGCATCCCGCTGGTACTGGGTGCAGGCGATGGCACTGACGGTGGTTCAGCAGACGGGAGTGGTGCTGGGGTAACCGCCGGTGGGGCGGTGATAGCCAATGGCGGCAGCGTGGCAGCTGGCTCCGCTGTCCTGGGCATTGAAGACCGTAATGTTTGGGGCATGTGTTCATGTGCCCCGATTGGCGTGACGGTGGGTGAGTAGCGAAGGTCCTCCTCCAGTGTCCGAGGCTTGGGTCTCTGTGGCACCACAACAGGTTCGTACGCCGCAGAAATTTTCTGTTCCGCCATGTAATTCGACCGACCATTATCTGGTACAACCATACTGGTAAAATTGGTCTAACCTCGAATGAGACCCAGTTTTGTTCCATCGTGTGGGCGTGGGGGCCAGTTTGGTTCTGGAGGCGTATGTTGGTTGGCCCCGCCAGCGTGGCCAGTCGCTTGTGTGGCTCTGTCCACCTTTCAAGCAGCCTTCATGTGCCTGTTCTTGAGTGCTTCCTCGCCTCGCCGTCATGTGTTTCACGCCATGTGGGTGAGCCTGTATGCGCTGGCGATAGGGATGAAGTCTTTTCTAGGTCGACCAAAGGATTACACAGGCGGCGACAGATCTTTATGGCATCGGGTCAGGCGTATTTCTGTATTGCACCACTGCGGCTGACTGGCGGTGTGCAGGCTCACGCACGTTGACGCGGTGTTGCCTTAGTGATCCATAGCGCTTCACTGTCTTCACTCCTACTTCTGCTCTGCAGTTGAATGCCGGGAACGCACCGAGCTTAGTCTGTGGACCCCCAGTTTTTTATTCCAGGAATGTCCTGGTGGCGCTGCAGTGAACCCGGCCACCACAACTCGTAGTCATCTTGGATACCGAATGTCCAGCAAAGATACCGGCCGGAGGCAAGTTATCAGGGCCTGGCACGCCAGTCTGATGCATGTTCCACTACTGGCCAATGAATTAACGATCGACGCACAACCAGGTAATTTCCGCCTTGTAATGCGAACTAGCAGCGGCAGACAGCACTGGAAGGGGTAGGTTTGGGGTTGTCGGGTGTCGGTGTGCGCTGGCTGTGTTGTGCAATCCTGTGCAGTCACTGGCACCTAAGCCCTAATATCCGTTTGATTGGCAGGGGTGAGCGGGCGCGAAGACCGAGGACTCCGCTCGGGCCAACTCGACGTCACCTTGATGGCAGCGTGCAGTGTTTGGGAGGACATCTATGGCGTAAGCATGGGGGGAATGTACGACCCTCTCCTTGTAGAGAACTACACCATCTATTGATAGAGGTCATCCCGAAACTGACTGATGATCCTGCCTGTTTCGGCAGCTCATGGCGAAGCTCAGGGCAGGCCGCTGCTCAACCAATCCACAAGCTCATTCATGGCTACACAATCACTCGCTGTCGCCTCTTGCACGCTCGCCCATGTCAGCAGCTTATTGCAGTGTGTGCGCGCACGGCTGACTTTCGGAGATGACATCGAGGTCATCCGGGTGTTCGGCTTCTAGCACCCGATTGCAGCCAAGAATGAGGGGCTGAAGTAGGGGTGCGCAAGCCCAGTGGCGGCCATGTCGCAGGCTTGAAATTCATCGCTCAGTGCAACTTATTAGTCTTCTGAGGGCACTGGGTACGTTTGACACGCGGTCCGGCCGATCTGTTTTTGAAACCGGGTTGTGGACCATTCGAACTTGTATCTCAATGTCTTCTCCTTTCAGGTTCCTTAAGCCTGCATTGGGGCTTCCTCAGCGAGCGATCAAAAGACTGAGGATGGGTTATGGTCAACTGCAATTATCAGTTTNTCCTCGTGTGTCAAACGTGTAGAATGTGGACGCATTATTCATTTTATAACCGGAATTTCCATTTCAGGTGTAGAAATTTTCTAGTGGGAAGAAGCTAATATTGCCACACTAGAACAACCTTCAGTAGTAACACCAGAGAAACAGCCTACATCTAACGAACATATCCTGAAAATGCATGATACCGTTTACTTAAAATCGGGCTATTTATACAAATAAAACACATTTATTACATATATAATGAATATTATCGAGGAAGAAGTGACGTAAGGGTAAGGCGAATAAAGCTGAAGGCTTTACAGTCTAATATTATTGACAGGAGAGGGCGCCACAGCATCAAGCGCCCGTATTTAGTATTTATACCCTGTGTCGATATTCCTGTGTCATACCGCTACGTAGCGCGATCAAAGTGGTTAGAGTGGCACGTTCTAGTGTTTAGTACCGAAATGAAATTTGAATTTATACTCAGCGCGTTTTATCGCTGTAATCAACTCAAGATAACTATTATACACAAAAAACTACCCGTGCAGAATATACGAGTGTACAGAGCAGAGGGTTAAAATATTGCAAACGCGACCTCGCTACTTCGCCTGGTCGGCACTAAGCCACTAACCCGCCATAAGTGCCTCCCAATACTAATATACGGTTATGAGATGCGTAGATGTCGGCGACTTAGCGACATAGTAGTGTTTTACGTAAAGGAACGAGGCAAAATTATTAACGAATTAATACGTGAACAATCCTCGTGGTTCTTACATCTTCGTTGCTGACGGTATCAGTGCCTCCCTCTACCGGCAACCCAATGGTTTGTCATAAGCTCCTGATTTTATGTAACTCGACTGCGATCTCAACTTGCTTCCGATCAATCCGATGAAGTGCCCTACGAGGCTACTACGCAGCTCTACTCTCGACTATACTTTACTCTGATCGATTCTACTATACTCTACTCTACTCCAATTTACTATACTCTACTATACTATACTCTACTATACTCTACCCTATTGTACTCAGCTCTACCCTACTCTACTCTATATGGGTCCAATGGGAAGCATCGTTCTACGTCGCGTGCATTGATGTAAGGATATATAAGGTAAAGATTCAGTCATCTCAATGCGGATATACTTGTTCTAAATATAGATACCCTGTCGTCTGCTGATTACGTGAGGTCTGTGTGCGTTTACCGGCATCTTAGTTTAATTAAGAAGATAGAATGAAAAGATTTTAGTGGAAAACTACGCAATTGAGATATTCTGCCGTGTTTATTTAGTCTCGTTGCAGCCCGAATATTTTCAGTTCAGTATTCCGATCTAACGTGTATTCTACTGTGTGTGTGTGCGTCTGTAGAAGTATGTCTGCGTGTGTACGTCTGTGTGCGCGTGTGCTTGAGGGGTGCGTAACATCATAAGCTCCCGTCTGACAGATCGCCTATGGATGTTTTATTATCATGTCTAAGAAAGTGCAAAATGCCTTTGTAGTCTGTGATTAGATGATTGATGGGACAGATCATTTATAAGTAAATCTAAATTCAATTGCTCGCGGTGTGGGGGTAATAACGCGAAATTGTCTAGATTTTGAACGAGATTCGTTGTTTGCGATAGTTCATCAAGGCTTGAGGAGTTCACGGAATGGTTGCATTTTGTCCGTCATGCTGAAAGCATAGCTGACCTGGTTGACCACTCCGAACCAGGCCCGCACATCTGTAATGTTGCGCGGCATGGGGAACTCCAGGATGGCTTGGAGGTACTTGCTGCAAGGTCGGACTGATTCGGGCGTAATCTCGAAGCCCGCGAACTCAACTGTGTCCTGGGCGAACACAAATTTCTCTGGGTTGAGAGTAATACCATGACGGCCACAGAGGTCTAGCCACTCTACTACCCTGAAGAAACTGTCCGCAATGGTGTCTGCCCATATGAGTGTGTCATCTGTGCACTTTGTATAGTCAGTATATGAGAGTGCAGAGTCAGCGATAATCACCAGATGCAATGTATCCTTGAGGTGCCACCCTGTAACGATAGCGACCCCAGGGGGTAATGAATGTGGTCAGGTGGCGGTCATCGACATGCAGAGGAACGCTATGATACCCATTTAAAGCATCGAGGACTGTCTTCGTTTTATTCGCTGGCACTGAGCGAGCTTGGTGAAATGGGCTCTGTGTGTGATGGGTTTCTCTCTTAGCATGTGTGTTGAGTGCTTGGAAGTCAACTGTTCGCCTTGGCTCACCGTTCTTCTTGGCACAAACGACCATACGATGACACCACTCTACAGGTTCACCGACAGGAACAGGCTCAATGACACCAGGCTTCACATCCTGGTCGATACCGGCCTTCAACAGCCGAGAGAGAAATCGTGCGTGACATCAAGGAGAAGCTGTGCTACGTCGCCCTGGACTTCGAGCAGGAGATGGCCACGGCTGCTGCCTCCTCCTCCCTGGAGAAGAGCTACGAGCTTCCCGACGGACAGGTCATCACCATCGGCAACGAGAGGTTCCGTTGCCCAGAGGCCATGTTCCAGCCATCTTTCCTCGGTAGGTATCTCCGCGAATGTCGTGAGCTTGTGGCGCCACCTTCGTGTTGCCATGGTTCGTGAGCAAGAGGAGTTTGTTAATGCTGTATTTATACGTGGTTATTGATTACTGATTGATTTCTCATCATATTATAACTTTGTCAACAGGCATGGAGTCCACTGGTATCCACGAAGCCACCTACAACTCCATCATGAAGTGCGACATTGATATCCGTAAGGATCTGTACGCCAACACCGTCCTGTCCGGTGGCACCACCATGTACCCAGGCATTGCCGACAGAATGCAGAAGGAGATCACTGCCCTTGCGCCGAGCACCATGAAGATAAAGATCATTGCTCCACCAGAGAGGAAGTACTCTGTATGGATCGGTGGCTCCATCCTGGCTTCCCTGTCCACCTTCCAGCAGATGTGGATCAGCAAGCAGGAGTACGATGAGTCCGGCCCATCCATTGTGCACCGCAAGTGCTTCTAGGTTATCTCTCTCTCTCTCTCTCTCTCTCTCTCTCTCTATGATCAAGACGAAGATAGAAACATTCCACTGCCTTGTTATTCGTCTCTGGGCGCACCACCACTGTTCTGTGTTTATCGTAATGGCGTTGTAATGCCTTGTAATATATGCGCTTTAAGAAAATGCACTTGTGATAAAGGTACTATTTGGTGGACCCTGGCTTCTGGCAGCTGGTAATTTGTCGTGCCATCTACAATAGCAACAAAGCAGCAAAGCAGCAACATTCGCTCAACTAGCAACGTTTCACGTCTTCTGCTTCAGTTTCCTGCGAGCTCAAATAGCTAAAAAAAACATGTTTGTTCTCTAAGGGAGGTCATTATGATTCATTGATTATATTATTTCGTACGTAACTGATATGATATTGCGGAAATGCCTAACAATACGACAGTTGCGTCAATCAAGAATGTGTTTATTATTAAAAAAAACTTATATTTCTATTAAATTATTTGTTGCGTTTTCTTATGTTGATTTGATCTAAGTAAATGCATAACCAATGGGTTTTGCAATGCAGTGAACAACGTGTTGGTTAAACAACTATGGTTAGATAAAATGTTAACAGCTAACTAGTAAATTAAAATGAAGCTTTTTCATATTATTGGTAGGTTCATGGGGATATTTCACAACGTAATACCAACAGTGACGTTTCTTTCTTTTTTGAAATTGTGCTATAAGTGCATGTAACTTGTACTTCTGTGAAACTGAATATAGAAGTTGTGTTCATACATTCACAATGCAACTCTACAGTTCCTCGTGTGTCAAACGTGTAGAATGTGGACGCATTATTCATTTTATAACCGGAATTTCCATTTCGGGTGTAGAAATTTTCTAGTGGGAAGAAGCTAATATTGCCACACTAGATAAATCTTCAGTAGTAACACCAGAGAAACAGCCTACATCTAACGAACATATCCTGAAAATGCATGATACCGTTTACTTCAAATCGGGCTATTTATACAAATAAAACACATTTATTACATATATAATGAATATTATCGAGGAAGAAGTGACGTAAGGGTAAGGCGAATAAAGCTGAAGGCTTTACAGTCTAATATTATTGACAGGAGAGGGCGCCACAGCATCAAGCGCCCGTATTTAGTATTTATACCCTGTGTCGATATTCCTGTGTCATACCGCTACGTAGCGCGATCAAAGTGGTTAGAGTGGCACGTTCTAGTGTTTAGTACCGAAATGAAATTTGAATTTATACTCAGCGCGTTTTATCGCTGTAATCAACTCAAGATAACTATTATACACAAAAAACTACCCGTGCAGAATATACGAGTGTACAGAGCAGAGGGTTAAAATATTGCAAACGCGACCTCGCTACTTCGCCTGGTCGGCACTAAGCCACTAACCCGCCATAAGTGCCTCCCAATACTAATATACGGTTATGAGATGCGTAGATGTCGGCGACTTAGCGACATAGTAGTGTTTTACGTAAAGGAACGAGGCAAAATTATTAACGAATTAATACGTGAACAATCCTCGTGGTTCTTACATCTTCGTTGCTGACGGTATCAGTGCCTCCCTCTACCGGCAACCCAATGGTTTGTCGTAAATATTTGATCAGGAGCTAACTCGACTGCGATCTCAACTTGCTTCCGATCAATCCGATGAAGTGCCCTACGAGGTTGAGACCGCTAACGGCTTCCAGCTCCAGCGCAGCTCTATTCTCGACTATACTTTACTATAATTTATTCTACTCTATTCTACTCTACTCCAATTTACTATACTCTACTATACTATACTCTACTCTTCTCTACCCTATTGTACTCAGCTCTACCCTACTCCATATGGGTTCAGTGGGAAGCATCGTTTTACGTCGCGTGCATTGATGTAAGGATATATAAGGTAAAGATTCAGTCATCTCAATGCGGATATACTTGTTCTAAATATAGATACCCTGTCGTCTGCTGATTACGT